TTTTTTATTTGAATGAGATTCTTTTTGCAGGTTCAGCATAAGTTGTAAGCTCTAATTTAACTTTTCTGATCTCTTGCGATTTTTTTGTTCACTTCACAGCCGCAATATGCAGCAGTATAGAAGAGAATAAAAAAATCCCTTTATTGTCCTTTAATGGGGAAATTGTGTTGTGTGTTCTTAACAGGTACAGCTCATTTTTACTTCTTTACTGCATTTTCCATATCCATCAAACCTTCCACATTGTTGTTTTCCTTTACATATACCTGCTTTATGACCAAGTTTTTGGCATTTAAAATATCTCAGAGGTTGAGGATTGTAGATTTTCACTTTGTAGCTCATCCATAAAAACCTTATTTAGTAAATGCTCCTCTTCGAATTTTAATAACACTGATAAGCTATCCTAACTCCTTTCCCCTCAATATTGTTAATGCATATAGCTTTGCCTTGTTGAACGCTGTGTCTGCAGTTGATTAACAATTTAATTCAGTTTATTTCTATGCACCAATTCCTTCTGAAAAACTCACACAAAGAGAAGAGACAATTAGGTTTAAATTTATTTGTACAGTTACTTTGTCTTTTGTGCTCAGACCTCGGCAGGAGACATAGCACTTAATATTGATAGACAAGCATGAACAGGAGCAAAGAATAGGGCTGTTTTCCCCCCAGGCCTGAAACTGGTGGTGGAGTGGAGATGGATGAAGTTGGTCAGTCTGTAGACTGCTGGTTAGTGAGACGGTATGCTGTGCTTTATGGGGAGATCCAGTGGAGGTGACAGTGGAGAGGAAAAACTCCCCGCTGGGAAGAAGCCTCTGGCAAAACCAGGCTCAACATGGCGGCCTTCCACCAGATCGGTTAAGATGAGACGAGGAACGCAGTAAGTGTCCAGGAGGAACGACACACTAAGTTTTAGTAGATGCTGGAGGTGGGTTGAAACGGTGTCATCTGAATGAAGTCACACAGTGCATCCACAGCTGGCGCACAAGAGCACACAAGTGGATTGGAGGCCTTTTAAGAAGAACTTTAAATGCTGATTGGCTTTCGTGGAGGTGTGGTTCAAAGCTGATTGACTGTGTTGCAGGTGGATGTAAGAGAGCAATCAGTTTCTTCAGTTGAACTTTTGCCTAGGCTCCATTTCACAACATGTCATCTTAAGGAACTTTACAATTTTATCAGCTCAAGCAGTCAAATTGATTCAGTTTTCTATATAAGAAAAACCAGTTGATTACATTAACTTATCGACTCATCGACTCATCGAAGGTAGTCCCTCTCACAAAGCCAGTGTCACAGCGAAAAAGGAACAGACCAGATGGAATTACTATGAGCAAAAGCAGAGAGAGCATAGTATTAGAGATTGAACTAAGAAATTCTGCAGAGTAGGT